GGCGGCGGAAAGCGACTGTAAGTTCGGAGCCCACCCCGCAGGAGCATTCCTAATATAACTGAAATCCATTTCAGGTCGAACGCCAGCAAGGAGGAGAATCGGCAGGCCATCGTCGAGGACTCGATAGCCTTTGGTTTGGGCAGTCTTGTGGGATCTGTGGCCATGTTTGTGCTCATCACACTGGCCATTGACATTGCCAACCGAGTGGCGCTAAAGCAGATCTGTCGCATCCGCAAGGTGTTCCTGGAGGCCATGCTGCGGCAGGACATTACGTGGTACGACACCACCTCCGGCACCAACTTCGCCAGCAAGATGACAGAGGATCTGGACAAGCTGAAGGAGGGGATCGGCGAGAAGGTGGTGATAGTCACCTTTCTGTTCATGACATTCGTCGTGGGCATTGTGGCATCGTTCCTCTACGGCTGGGGCCTAACCCTGGTCATTGTCGGCTGCTGCCCTTTGATCATCATTGCCACAACGGTGGTGGGAAAGCTGCAAGGATCTCTCGCCGACAAAGAGCTCAAGGCCTACTCCAATGCTAGCAATGTGGCCGAGGAGGTATTCAGCGGTATCCGCACCGTGTTCGCCTTCAGCGGGCAAGCGAAGGAGAAGGAGCGCTTCGGGAAGCTGCTGCTCCCGGCCGAGGCCACTGGACGCAAGAAGGGGCTCTACACAGGCCTGGGCAGTGCTGCCACCTGGCTGATCATCTACCTTTGCATGGCCCTGGCCATCTGGTACGGGTCGAAGCTCATACTGGAGGATCGCAACCTCGAGGACCGCCAGTACACGCCGGCTGTCCTTGTCATCGTCTTGTTTGCTGTCATTATGGGAGCGCAGAACCTCGGATTCGCGTCGCCGCACGTCGACTCGATGGCAGTGGCCACGGCCGCTGGACAGAACCTCTTCAGAATCATCGATCGGCAGTCGCAGATCGACCCCATGGTCGAGGGGGGAGCCAGGCCAGAGAGCATCACGGGACGCATCCGCTTCGAGAACATTCACTTCCGCTATCCCGCCCGACCAGACGTCCAGATCCTCAAGGGGCTGACCGTGGACGTGGAGCCGGGCCAGACGGTGGCCTTCGTCGGTGCCTCGGGCTGCGGCAAGAGCACAATGATCCAGCTGATGCAGCGGTTCTACGACCCCGAGCAGGGGAGCGTCAAACTGGATGGACGGGATCTGCGCTCGCTGAATGTTGGCTGGCTGCGCTCGCAGATCGGCATCGTGGGCCAGGAACCGGTTCTCTTTGCCACCACCATCGGTGAGAACATTCGCTACTCCTACCCAGAAGCCACGCAGGCGGACATTGAGCGTGCGGCGCGTGCCGCCAATTGTCACGACTTCATCAGCAAACTGCCCAAGGGCTACGACACACATGTGGGCGAGAAGGGCGCCCAGATCTCCGGAGGGCAGAAGCAGCGCATCGCCATTGCCAGGGCACTGGTGCGGAAGCCACAGATCCTGCTGCTGGATGAGGCAACCTCCGCTCTGGATCCCACGTCCGAGAAGCGGGTGCAGAGCGCCCTCGAGCTGGCCAGCCAAGGACCCACCACTCTGGTGGTGGCCCATCGCCTCTCGACCATCACGAACGCCGACAAGATTGTGTTCGTCAAGAACGGAGTGGTGGCCGAGCAGGGCACCCACGAGGAGCTGATGCAGCAACGCGGCTTGTACTGCGAACTGGTGAACATTACGCGCCGAAAGGAGACCACCGAGGAGGAGGAGACAGGCGGGGACAGAGTGCTACAAAAGGCACAAAACCTCTCCGATGAGGAGGACGAGGACGATGACAGCGAAGATGATGAGCCAGGACTGGAGGCGGGCAGCAGCAGGGAAAGTGCATTTAGCCGCGCCAGCACCCGTCGCAAGCGTAAGTAGCAGGAACAAGTTGTGCAGGAGCCCACAGGCTAACCCACAGGACAACCTCCTCTTGCAGGTCGCTCTCAGCGTCGCAGCAAGAAACAGAAGCCGCCGGTTCCTAAGTTCTCCCTCACGCAGCTGATGAGACTGAATGCCCCCGAGTGGCGCTACATTGTGGTCGGATGCATTGCCTCGGTTTTGCATGGCGCCACCTTCCCGCTGTGGGGCCTCTTCTTCGGCGACTTCTTCGGAGTGCTCTCCAACGGAGACGATGACGTGGTGCGTGCCGAGGTCATCAACATCGCGTGCATCTTCATCGGCATCGGCGTGCTGGCTGGACTGGGAACGATGCTGCAAACGTTCATGTTCACCACGGCTGGCGTGAAGATGACCACGAGGCTGCGTAACAGAGCCTTTGGCACAATTGTGGCCCAGGACATTGCCTACTTTGACAATGAGCGGAACTCGGTGGGTGCTCTGTGCTCCCGCCTGGCCAGCGACTGCTCCAACGTGCAGGGGGTAAGTTAGCTCTCTCCTGCGACTCCTGCTGACATCCAGCTAATCCTCCCAGTCCTCTATCCTCACAGGCCACTGGTGCTCGCGTTGGTGTCATGCTGCAAGCCGTTTCCACTTTGGTCATCGGCATGGTCATTGGCTTCGTCTTCTCCTGGCAGCAGACGCTGCTCACGCTGGTCACCCTGCCGCTGGTCTGTCTGTCGGTGTACCTGGAGGGTCGCTTCATCATGAAGAGCGCCCAGTCGGCCAAGGCGGCCGTCGAGGAGGCCTCCCAGGTGGCTGTGGAGGCGATAACCAACATTCGGACTGTCAACGGACTCAACCTGGAGCGTCGCATTCTGCAAACCTACGTCCAGCAGATCGACAACGTGGATGTCGCCTGCCGTCGCAAGGTTCGCTTCCGTGGAGTGGTCTTTGCGCTGGGTCAGGCGGCTCCCTTCCTGGCCTACGGCATCTCCATGTACTACGGAGGGCTGCTCGTGGCCGATGAGGCAATCAACTATGAGGACATTATCAAGGTGGCTGAAGCTTTGATCTTTGGTTCTTGGATGCTGGGTCAGGCGTTGGCCTATGCGCCAAACGTGAACGATGCCATCCTTTCCGCTGGCCGACTCATGGAGCTCTTCAAGAGCAATTCCACGCAGCCCAATCCGCCAGAGAATCCCTACAACACAGTGGAGGTGAGTCCATGCCTCCTTGCAAGTCCCTCTGGTAATGGATTTTAACATCTTGTTTTGTGGTTCTTGCAGAAATCCGAGGGAGACATTGTGTACGAGAACGTGGGCTTCGAGTATCCGACCAGGAAGGGCACTCCCATCCTGCAGAGCCTGAATCTCACCATCAAGAAGTCGACGACTGTGGCGCTTGTGGGCCCCTCCGGGTCCGGCAAGTCCACCTGCGTGCAGCTGCTGCTCCGCTACTATGACCCCGTCTCCGGATCGGTGAATCTCAGTGGAGTGCCGAGCACCGATTTCCCGCTGGACACGCTGCGCTCCAAGCTGGGCCTCGTCTCGCAGGAGCCAGTGCTCTTCGACCGCACAATTGCCGAGAACATTGCGTACGGGAATAACTTCCGGGACGAGGTCTCCATGCAGGAGATCATCGAGGCTGCCAAGAAGTCAAACATTCATAACTTCGTCAGCTCCCTGCCGCAGGGCTACGAGACGCGGCTGGGCAAGTCCTCCCAGCTGTCTGGTGGCCAGAAGCAGCGCATCGCCATTGCACGGGCTCTGGTGAGGAATCCGAAGATTCTGATACTCGACGAGGCCACCTCTGCACTGGATCTGGAGAGCGAGAAGGTGGTGCAGCAGGCGCTGGACGAGGCTCGTTCCGGACGCACCTGCCTCACGATTGCCCACCGTCTGACCACAGTGCGGAACGCCGATTTGATATGCGTCCTCAAGCGGGGCGTGGTCGTCGAGCATGGCACGCACGATGAGCTGATGGCTCTGAATCGCATCTACGCCAATCTCTACCTGATGCAGCAAGTGTCGGGATAAGAGAGTATTTAGTATTATAGTATTAGGAGACGTTGGATTAAGTACCTTAGATTCGAATAGAAATATGTACATAAACAGAAACGCAACCATGAAAGGAACTTCCTGCCAGTATGGATGCTGATGGACACTTAACGGAAGCTCCTCCTTGTTAGTAGGCATTCCTTGACCTGTCACTGAAAACACTGACATCTGATGTACAGGCAGGGTATTTCGTTAGGGGTCGAAATTCAAGGACACCCGTTGATGCAGCGGCACAGGTCGGAGGCCGTGCTTGGTCCAAACCTTGCTGACAATTCGGATGTTGTGATGCTAAATCCTTCCTCATTGCAATATGCGGAAAACACTTCGAGTGCTGAGGAAAATAAGTGGGTCCAGCTCCGCCAGACGTCAATGGAAGGCGCGGAAAACTGGACGGAGTGCTATGGGGTAACCGAGCGTAAAACTGACCATCGAAATACGATGTACGATTTCAATGTCCTGGCTCAAGAGTGCGCAAAGCTCATCAATCCAGGCATTCAAGAGAATATGCAGTACTGGACGGAAAGAGGTCATAATACTGGAGCACCTCCACCAGCCATTTCTGACAGGGTGCATGGTCTTTCGGCCGGGAATGCCTTCAGTCAGCGGCACAAGAAGGAGAGCGTTTTGGTAATAAAGAACTCGAAATTGCAAAGTATGGAAAATACATCGAAGACAGGGGCATATTGGGTACAGGCGTGCAGCCAGGCGGCAATGAAAGGAACGGAAAACTGGGTGAAAGCCAATGTGTTGGCAAAGGGCAAAGAAAGAAGCGATTGCAGTAATACCTACAATATCAATGCACTGATGGAGGAATGCGAAAATGTAAGGAGCGCAAATCGATCTCCTGACAATGTAAACGTCAATGAACTTTGTTGCTATTTTGACGACATTCTCCATATTCCGAAGAAATCAACAGAGTGGGCTGATAGAATGTACACTTGAATGCACACTCTGCATGGCAATGAACATTATTTCCTGTAATTTCGAAACCAATTTAAGCAAATTAACGAATTCGAATAAATATCTGGTATTTTTATTATGCCATGCATGCAATCGATGTATCGATTACTTCCATGCCTCTGCGATATTCCATCTCAGTTGCAGCTGTTCCAATTTTTTTGTTGACGTTGTACATACGCGTAAATTACATTACTACTAGATTAAATAGTTAAACTTTAGCATAAGACTTGTAAGGAAAAAGAGAAATAGCACTATGTCGGCGGTGGCCTATGAGCTGCTGTCCACAACAGCGGTGATCAGCACCGTATTTCAGTTTCTGTCCGGCGCGTAAGTATTAATGTATACATGTATGCACATACATATGTACATGTGTGTTTTGAAGCAATTAAGTACTAACGATTTATTTTCATGTAGCATGATATGCCGCAAGTACATACAGAAGAAGAGCACTGGCGACTCTTCCGGAGTTCCGTTCATATGCGGCTTCTTATCGTAAGTACAAACTGTCGACGTTGCCTGCCGTCCCACATGGCTCGGCATTCTATGATAAATTTGATTTGGCTACGCTCAGCGCGTACTTCTTCTCGGACACCCGGTCTATGCCGTGTGCAAGAGTAGATTGTGTTCGTGCTGAAGCTGTAACACGTCAAGGGACACGATCGTCAATTTTTGCATCGCTGGCACCTGCTGAACGTTTCGCGCCCTTACACACTTAAATAAACTTTGTTTCAACAGCTGCAGCTTCTGGCTGCGCTACGGCGTGCTAACCGAAGAGCAGAGCATTGTTTTGGTCAATGTAATTGGGTCAACGCTCTTTCTGATCTACACGCTGATCTACTATGTATTCACCATCAACAAACGTGCCTTTGTCAAGCAATTTGCCTTCGTTCTTGCCGTCCTGATTGGAGTCATAATATACACCAATCGGCTGGAAGACCAGCGTAATCAAATGATTCATATTACAGGTACATAAGAATGCATTCTGTACACGTTCGATCATTGATTATATTAACTCTAATAAAATCCTCATTTTTCAGGAATATTCTGTTGTATTGTCACCGTGTGCTTCTTTGCCGCCCCCCTAGCCAGTCTGCTGCACGTGATTAGGGCGAAAAACTCCGAGAGCCTACCACTGCCCCTCATAGCCACATCCTTCTTGGTCAGCCTCCAGTGGTTAATCTACGGCATTCTAATATCCGATTCGTTTATCCAGGTACCCAGTTTTGCCTTTTACCATCCCAACACATATTATACACTTCTTAATTTTAGATACCCAACTTTCTGGGCTGCCTCTTGTCCATGATGCAGTTGAGTCTGTTCGTGGTGTACCCTCCACGCAGCTACTCGGGACAGGGATATAAATTAGTCGAGCAGGCTGTGCCATTTTAGAGACTAAGTAGATGCGGGTTATACACGTGAGAGCATGTCTCAGCCACAATTATATGTATATTTTAATATACGGAGTGTGTGGCGGACGGATATGCTGCTTGCTTAATTACTACAGACCTACGTAATAGTGATTGTATATTTTAAAGTATTTATTAAATTATTTGTCTCAAAAGTGTGTAATGTACTTACATCACTATGCTGATATGGGGCGCTCAGCGGAATTCATCCTGTATATTATGTCCTTGCTTAAACAATAAAACGCTGTAATGTTTTCGAAACAAGATAAATATCTAATTTGTGTAATAAAGGAATTTATACAGAAAATATAGAAGTCGACTTAAAAATAGCGGAAAAAGTGGACAACGAAGACTTTCACACTGGCGCTTCTACTAGAGATGAAGGAATTACGGCGAAACTTGTCAACAAGCTTATACATTTCCCCGGCAGGTGTCTCTGTTGTAATTACATAAATATGAAGTTAATGTGTAGTTACTGTTTAGTTGTACAAGGTAATTTTTGGATAAAAAAGGTTTCAGGTATTTAAGAAATTTATAACAATCCTATTAAAGGCAGCAATATTAAAAAGAATATCAAAATCTCGCCTATGTAAGGTAATTAAGGTCTGCAAGGGTCTGTCGGTATATTTGATCGATAATTCTGCGGTCACACTGGTGACGAGTGACGAATTCCGTTCTTTTGTTAAAATATTATTAAAAACATTTAAAATGATGCAAGAACAAAGTCCCGAGCTGTACGAGGAGGTAAAACTTCATCGCAATGCCCGCGAGCGGGAGAGGTATGACAACATGGCGGATTTGTACGCCATCATAAACACAATCCAGCAGCTGGAGAAGGCCTACATTCGGGACTGCATAACGCCGCAGGAGTACACTGCTGCGTGCTCCAAGTACTTGGTCCAGTACAAGGTGGCCTTCAAGCAGGTGCAGAGCGACGAGTTCCCCACAGTGGAGACGTTTGTCAAAAAGTTTCGCCTGGACTGTCCAGCAGCACTGGAGCGCATTCGGGAGGATCGCCCCATCACCATACGCGACGACAAGGGAAACACTTCCAAGTGCATAGCCGAGATTGTCTCTCTGTTCATTACGATTATGGACAAGCTGCGTCTCCAGATCAACACAATGGACGCCCTGCAGCCGGACGTGAAGGACCTAGCCGACAACATGAATCGCCTGTCCCTTATTCCCGAGGACTTTGATGCCAAGCAAAAGGTTGACAAGTGGCTGGGAAGCTTGAACGAAATGCAGGCATCGGATGAGCTGACTGAGGGCCAAGTGCGCCAGTTCCTCTTCGACTTGGAGTCGGCGTATGCGGACTTCAACAAATTGTTGCACAGCCAGTAGCAATGTCGTTTCTTAGTCTCCAAGTGTAATTTAAAATAGTTTATTATATTCCGCATTAAAACTTTTAATATATATAAATATTCGTGTATAAAAGCTCTGTGGTCTTTATTCCATTCCAGATAAACAAAAATGGGTAAAAGATTTGCATTTGTTTGGATTTAATCGTATCTTCTTTTTTTTTTTGTATTTAGTTTAAATATTAAGGTTATAATTATACATATAAGTTTAAACCGATTACAATAATTGTTGTTTTGTTTCGCTTTATCTTTATCATCCACGTAATGTTTGTTGTTTTGTTTTAGTTCTCTTTAATATATATACTCGTAGTTTTTAATTTACTCTTCTGCTGTTATGCTTTCTGCTCGGTTTCTGCTCTGTTCTGTTCTGTGTTTCCTCTTACGCACCTAATCTGATCCGTTGATCCGTTACATCGCTTTACGCCTTTAATAATTAATAATTGTTACTCTTTGTCTTTGTAGATTTATTTGTATGCAATGTGAAAATGGTACTTGGTATATTTATGCGGATGTTGCTGTATGTTTTTTGTTTGTTTGTTTGTATGTATGTGTGGCATTCATGCGTGTATGTGTCCGTGAGAGGAGCAGCTTCCTCCCTGCACCTGTAACCTGTACCACACTTCCTTCCTCTCTCTCTCTCACTGTGCTCCTGTCTCGGGTATGGGTGCTGGTTGAGGGCAAGGGGCATGCCGAAGGAGGAGGCGTGGCCTTTTACGGTGCGCTCGTAGTAAAAACGTATCTTATTAAGTAAAGTATGATCGCTTATCTTGGTATATTAGATAGTCATCGTCCGATGAAGGCGACGGCTCCTCGCTCGCCTCTTCAACGGCGTGTGGGTTGTGTGTGGGTGTTTGGTGTGGGGATTTGATTGGATTGGATTCGGCTTCAGGCTGCTATGGTTGTGACTGCTCCTGGAACAGCATTAATAGCTGATTGGGAGTGGTGGCTGATGCTGGGGTTGTGTTGGCGTCGTCTGTGGCGGCACCTGTTGCGGCGGCTGCTTCTGTAGTGGTCACTAATGCGGCTGTCGTCGTATTGTCCGTAACGGAAAACGCTTCCGGATTGCTGATACTGTAGTTGTAGCTGTGGTTGTTCTTGTAAATGTGTATGGGCGTGGTGCGAAGGCTATAAAATTCGCTCGCTAGGCAGGCGGCAGGCTGCAGAGCGATCTGCCAGATTGCGTTCTCCGGAAGCTAGTTCTGTCCGGTCCAGTACGAGGGCGAGTAGCCTTGCTTGCCGGCCGACTTGGACTGGCTGCTCGACTGCTGGCGCTGGCCTGCGCTGTTCGAGTCCTGCAACAGAATGTTAATGTCACTAATTAGGCAAACAAACAAAAATCAACCAGACTCTGAATTCCCTGTTCCCAGAAGAACAGTGCTCTTCCTTCTTCCGGTATCCACTAAGCCATCAATACACAAATGTTAACATACATTTAAAGTACACAAATAGAGTATATCACTTATTTACACAGCAGAAGATATGGCATGATATGTGGTCATGAGTAATGATTCCGACGACTCTGATTAAACTAGGGCCTTTCGACAGCTGAATTCCTTTCATTTCATTTCTCAGCTAGGAGCTGTCGTCGTTTCTATAGAGGAGTTTTCATGCAAACTACAGACTAATTGAATCAATGTGGGTGGAGTGAATAAAAATCTAAAGTTTGTTGCATCGAAATGGGATGGGGATGGTGGGGTTAGATACGAGTTGTGCGTGTTTACCAGGAAAAAAGCAACTTTTACACATGATTTACAACAAAGGAACTTACCCGGCGGGATGAGCTATGAATCCTGCCGTCCATCTAGTTGTCCCATAAAAAAATCAAAAGAAATTATAAAGAAAGGTCATACAATAGAACAATTTCATGCATTTTAGAATTCTCTCAACATCTTCAAGCTATTGGATGTGGCTGCTGCGGCTGTATATCTCAATTCAGTGTTCTATGCATTCGATGGGAGTCTACACTCCGCCGAGACTAAAACCGAGCAAACTTTCGTTTCGTCAAAACACAAAATTACAAAATACAAATATCAGAAAATGCATGAAATGTGTTTGGGTTAGTCACGATTATACGATTACAGAAAAAAGAGTGGAAAAAAACACTTGATCAATTAGCCAAATTTAAAGAAAATGTTCAATGTACACACGCATATAAATATTAATATAATGTGGTAGTGGGATTATATGGGATGTTAGTTAGTCTTTTGGGTTTGCAAATCTTTTCAATGAATGCTTATCCTGCGTAACAGTTTATGTTGCAACTTAAAAATAAAACCAAACCAATTTAAAAGTGTCTACGAGAATGTGTGTGAGCCGCTGAGAGAGTGTCATCGTGTAGTTTAACGTAAAGCAAACTCAAGCAAATGGACTTGTTTATTTTGCTTGAATCGTGTGTTATGCTGAGCAAATGATGGTGGGCTGTTTTCGGTTTTGAGCTCAATGGAGGTTGTGGGGCGACTGTGGGGTGCACTGGCGGACCTATTTCCCCACTATTCCTAACAATCGGCAATGAATGATATTCCACAGATGTTATCTTGAAGCTTGTAGGACTGCTATGGCTCGTCCTCAACATAGTAGTTGCATTCTTCATCGCAGCAATCGCTCTCTGGTTGAGGGCCACCACCGACATAGTGGGGATTCCTCCAAACTTGCTCTCGATTAAAATCAACAGGTGTTCCAAACTCAACGAATTGATTCTCGCAGCCTCGTATCACAATAACTTGTTGCATTTCTGACCCTACCTGGTGTATGGGCTGATGTATCATATTGTGGTGTCCGGCTGCTGGCATCGGCAAATACATGCCGTACGGCTGAGCCGACGTTCCGCCCGCTGTCTGCGTGTTGGCCATGTTGAACGGTGGCGGTGTGCCCGAGTGGAAATTCTGCTTCTCATACGACTGTAAGGTGAAAATAAAAAACCGGAATCGGGCGTTAGCGCGACTAGAATGACTGGACAAGCTGTACGTACATTAACCTTGTTCAGCGCCACGTGGCCTTTTCCGTACATCGATGACGTCAGGTCAGAGGCAGTGCCCGCCTGCGGCTGGTTGGAAACCGTCTGGGTTTTCGTTTGCTGATTCACGCTCGACGAGTAGCCGCCCTTGCTGTAATCCTGTGTGGTCTGTGAGAGAGTATCGTAGTTGGTCGAGCCGTAGCCCGCGCTGTACGATGGTTTCGGGAACTGTCCACCAGATGCGGTGTTTGCCGTCGGTATTTGTTGCTGTTCAAAAATAAAATTACACACATTAGCACAGGGACATAATATAGAGAGAGAATATTCAATGAATTACTGGATAAATGGCAGGCGTGCCGTACTGGAAACCACCAGGCATTACATTGCCACCATAGAAATAGGCATAAGGAACATTCAGCATGGGTGCGCTTGAGCCCGCCTGTTGAGACATTGTGCTAGACACCTGCAAGACAAAGACACAGAGAGCGATAATTAGCTAATGTTCGCGTATTGGACTCCTGGCCAGAGTTAAGACTCACGTTACTAACTGGACTGGAGTTATTGTCAGTGCGGGCAAAGCGTCCATCAGTCATGGTTGAGTACGCCACAGATCCGAGATTGTCGCGTCCAGCTCCCAGGCTGGTTGGTGTGTAGTTCAGATCGTAATAGCCCTGCTGCAATTGACACAAAACATACACAAAATTAGGTGGCCGTCGAGGGGGATCGGTAGAGCCTGGTTATATTGGCACGATGGTTGACGGGCGCAGCTTTGCCAGACTTTTGCGAAATTGTAACTCAATGTAAGGTCCGTAATATCTGTATAGTTTGGCAAAGCTGTGTGCGGTTCGAACCACCTCAAAGCGCATTTTGATGGAAATGGAAAACAAATGATTTGTTAACTGCTTAAATTAATGACATGGAAAATATACATATACAAATATGAGAGC